GCAGAAACATTAGAGAACATCTCTCTCCCTTTTGGGAAAGGTTTCCCTCCGCCCCCCCCCCCCCCCCCCCTCTTTCCTCCCTCTTTTCTCACTTTCTTTTTTTCTTTCAGGTATTCGAGTTTTCCAACAGATAACAGATAATCTAACCAAACCAAACCAAATCAACGACTACCATTCGACTACCAATCAATAAGAAATACCATGATCAGAACGAGTTTGGAAGAATGAAGGGGACCGAGTAACTCACGCCACACCATCCAGGGCCGAGTTTCACTGCCATGTCATTCGACCCGACCAGATCTAACGAAGAATCAACAACTAAACCAACAACACCCAATCATCCAATTTGATCCAATCCAACTACCAACTACTACGACTACCAACAACTACCTAGTCTGTGATATCAGCATCCGCTGGAAGCGAACGTTAACTCGTCATCTACCTACCTACCTACCTTTTCTATCATTATTATTTTGTACTTGATAAAGATTCCTGTATGTGAATGGAAACGTTGCAGACATTAAAGGAAGGAGTAGTATATCCATAATAGTGTTTCTTATTTAATGTTCTATCTACTTCTAAATGTCACTTAGAGATCAAATTATACAGACAGCTGAAATGGACCCCAATCAGCTGGTAAAGTAAATATAAAGATGACTATTCAGATAGCTAAATAAAAATTTAGCGCAATCAGCTGGTACAATAGATATTTAGACAACTATACAGATAACTAAAACTGAGCTCTATCGGATAGTAAAAGAGATGTTTAGATGACTATACAGATAGCTGAAATAGAGCTCTATCAGCTGATAAAAGAGATATTTAGACAACTATACAGATAACTAAAACTGAGCTTTATCGGATAGTAAAAGATATGTTTAGATGACTATACAGATAGTTGAAATAGAGCTCTATCAGCTGATAAAAGAGATATTTAGACCACTATACAGATAACTAAAACTGAGTTCTATCGGATAGTAAAATAGATATTTAGACAACTATACAGATAACTAAAATTGAGCTCTATCAGCTTGTAAAATACATCTTGAAGCTCTGTTAGCTGGTAAGATAAATTTACATACCCCTAGTGACGACATCCTATTGTTTCGCAAAGGCTAGAGATTCAAATATGGATTGGGCTCAACTAACCGTCACGATATCATGTCTGTATATCACGTCCGAGGAACTTGTAGGGTCAGATGGCCGGGCTAATGAGTCATCTATCATTTTTATACCTGACCGTGATATGAGCTGTCGTACCCAAATACCTATCATCATTACAATCACCAACATCGAAATGGTTTGATAATCGATACATTGTTATACAGATTTTCATATATCACGAATAGTTTAAATTTGTTTGATCAAAAATTGGAGAAGATACGCTTTGATAACTCTCACTTATTTTGTTTACTAATTGTATATATTAATGTTCCATTGGTAGAAATGATGCATAAACATTTCATCACAAAAAATATTTGCATATTATAGATAACAACGTTGATAACTCTTATTCATATGACTAACTGCATATATAATATACAAAAGTTTTTGTATTGATTAGCTCCTAGTTATTTTGAATATGAAATAAATATTCCCTGTCATGAATGCATTAAAACCGCCATTTTCTTTTATGGCGTGACGTCATGTCGTAGATAGACGATAATAAAATGGCGACATTTCAAGTGTGAGGATTGCTCTTCCTCGTGACGAGAATAAACTCTCTCTCTCTCTCCCTCTCTCTCTCTCTCTCTTTGTTCTGTTCTATTGGTTGTCTTCGTTCTGAGCTATGAGGTGTATTCGTTCTGTTCTATGGGATTTCTTCGTTCTGTTCTTTAAGGTGTCTGTGCCGCGGAGCATACATTGTTTGTACAATTTTTAAATCTAAAATTGAGTAAATACCTCATACACTTTCAAACATCTATTTTATTTTTTAAACTTCATTTCAATTATAAGACAATTTGAAAGAGGCAGAGAAAACCCGACATACATTTCTTTGTATAAAGTCTTGTCCACACGACTTGCAAAGGCTGGGCCGAGCTGGGTCATGTTGGTGCAATTCTTTGCTATTTATTTTTTCTGATGTACCGACAAAAATAACATAAAAAGTTACTTTGTGTAGACCGGGCTCTTGAATAAAACACACACATTGTTATGGATTGTTAGTTTTTAAGATAATATCTGTTCAGTAGGGGGCTTAAAATGTTGTATATATTCTGAATCAAATCTTGCATTCAACACTGTTTCCACAAGCCTTGAAGAGTCAACTGTCAATAGCTATGAATGACCTATTATGCTCCGTGCTTTTGCTGTCCGTTACAACACTGATTCTTATTGATGCCGGTAAATATTGATACTTTTTATGTTACGATTGTATAAATCTATGATTTTATATTTTCTATATTGAATAAGACCTAAAGTTTAATCAGCATTTTGATTGTAGTTGGAATGTCATTGTGGTTCATTTCAATAAATAATTTCAGCTAAGTGACTCTCCGAAAAGGTTGATCAGTTGATAAACGTAGTCGCAGATTCGCATCCGGTGTTTTGTCGAGCATGCCCTAACTCGACAGCAACACCTGGCACAATACTATTTTTATTCAATGAAGCTTTTGGAATCAAGAGCTCAAGGTGTATAGGTGAAACAAATGTGAAAATTAATGAAACATCTAACTGCCTCTGTCATAAATGAACACATTATTATTTCAGTTAAAAATATCATCATAAATATAAAATGATAATTTCAGATTGCTCAAATTATCCTGACGTTAAGAACGCATATTTCAACGAGGACGACAATTGTGTTGATATTTCTATTACGTGTAATGAAAAGTATACCATGAAACAAATGATAAAATGTGAAGATGGAGAGTGGAAATATCAAGAACCATATTGTGAACCTCAAGGTATGACAGGTATATTTTCTTTGTGAATATCAAACAAGAGAAAATATTTTAACAATCAATGTCATAACTGAATGAAATTTTTGCATCATGATTAGAGCGAAAAAAAAACCAAAATCCTTAAAGAGAAAGAGACAAAATATTGTTGTACAACATTAACCACAATGTCCTAAGCCTTATTATTTGGAAAACCTTACTACATTATAATTAAATTATAATTCCGATGAAGGTGTGAGAATCATATTGAAACGTTGAAAGTAATAAATTTTCTAGAAGTATTATTATATTCCTGAGTGTGAGAACCACATTGAAACATTGAAAGTAATAAATATTCTAGAAGTATTATTATATTCCTGATGACAGTGTAAGAATCATATTGAAACGTTGAAAGTAATAAATATTCTAGAAGTATTATTATATTCCTGATGATGGTGTGAGAATCATATTGAAACATTGAAAGTAATAAATATTCTAGAAGTATTATTATATTCCTGATGATGGTGTGAGAATCATATTGAAACATTGAAAGTAATAAATATTCTAGAAGTATTATTATATTCCTGATGACAGTGTAAGAATCACATTGAAACATTGAAAGTAATAAATATTCTAGAAGTGTTATTATATTCCTGATGATGGTGTGAGAACCACATTGAAACATTGAAAGTAATAAATATTCTAGAAGTATTATTATATTCCTGATGATGGTGTGAGAACCATATTGAAATGTTGAATGTAATAAATATTCTAGAAGTGTTATTATATTCCTGATGATGGTGTGAGAACCACATTGAAACATTGAAAGTAATAAATATTCTAGAAGTATTATTATATTCTTGATGATGGTGTGAGAACCATATTGAAATGTTGAAGTAATAAATATTCTAGAAGTATCATTATATTCCTGATGATGGTGTGAGAATCATATTGAAACATTGAAAGTAATAAATATTCTAGAAGTATTATTATATTCCTGATGACAGTGTAAGAATCATATTGAAACATTGAAAGTGATAAATACTCTAGAAGTATTATTATATTTCTGATGACAGTGTAAGAACCATATTGAAACATTGAAAGTAATAAATATTCTAGAAGTATTATTATATTCCTGATGAAGGTGTGAGAACCACATTGAAACATTGAAAGTAATAAATATTCTAGAAGTATTATTATATTCCTGATGATGGTGTGAGAATCATATTGAAATGTTGAATGTAATAAATATTCTAGAAGTATTATTATATTTCTGATGACAGTGTAAGAATCATATTGAAACATTGAAAGTAATAAATATTCTAGAAGTATTATTATATTCCTGATGATGGTGTGAGAACCATATTGAAACGTTGAAAGTAATAAATATTCTAGAAGTATTATTATATTCCTGATGATGGTGTGAGAACCATATTGAAACATTGAAAGTAATAAATATTCTAGAAGTATTATTATATTCCTGATGATGGTGTGAGAACCATATTGAAATGTTGAAGTAATAAATATTCTAGAAGTATCATTATATTCCTGATGACAGTGTAAGAATCATATTGAAACGTTGAAAGTAATAAATATTCTAGAAGTATTATTATATTCCTGATGACAGTGTAAGAATCATATTGAAACGTTGAAAGTAATAAATATTCTAGAAGTATCATTATATTCCTGATGACAGTAACAGAACCACATTGAAACATTGAAAGTAATAAATATTCTAGAAGTATTATTATATTCCTGATGATGGTGTGAGAATCATATTGAAACGTTGAAAGTAATAAATATTCTAGAAGTATTATTATATTCCTGATGACAGTGTGAGAATCATATTGAAACATTGAAAGTAATAATATTCTAGAAGTATTATTATATTCCTGATGATGGTGTGAGAACCATATTGAAATGTTGAAGTTATAATATTCTAGAAGTATTATTATAATCCCGATGATGGTGTGAGAATCATATTGAAACATTAAAAGTAATAAATATTCTAGAAGTATTATTATATTCCTGATGATGGTGTGAGAACCACATTGAAACATTGAAGTAATGAATATTCTAGAAGTATTATTATATTCCTGATGATGGTGTGAGAACCATATTGAAATGTTGAAGTAATAAATATTCTAGAAGTATTATTATATTCCTGATGACGGTGTGAGAACCATATTGAAATGTTGAAAGTAATAAATATTCTAGAAGTATCATTATATTCCTGATGACAGTAACAGAACCACATTGAAACATTGAAAGTAATAAATATTCTAGAAGTATTATTATATTCCTGATGACAGTGTAAGAATCATATTGAAACGTTGAAAGTAATAAATATTCTAGAAGTATTATTATATTCCTGATGATGGTGTGAGAACCATATTGAAATGTTGAAAGTAATAAATATTCTAGAAGTATCATTATATTCCTGATGACAGTAACAGAACCACATTGAAACATTGAAAGTAATAAATATTCTAGAAGTATTATTATATTCCTGATGAAGGTGTGAGAACCACATTGAAACATTGAAAGTAATAAATATTCTAGAAGTATTATTATATTCCTGATGATGGTGTGAGAATCATATTGAAATGTTGAAAGTAATAAATATTCTAGAAGTATTATTATATTTCTGATGACAGTGTAAGAATCATATTGAAACATTGAAAGTAATAAATATTCTAGAAGTATTATTATATTCCTGATGATGGTGTGAGAACCATATTGAAATGTTGAATGTAATAAATATTCTAGAAGTATCATTATATTCCTGATGACAGTGTGAGAACCATATTGAAATGTTGAATGTAATAAATATTCTAGAAGTATCATTATATTCCTGATGACGGTGTGAGAACCACATTGAAACATTGAAAGTAATAAATATTCTAGAAGTATTATTATATTCCTGATGACAGTGTGAGAACCATATTGAAATGTTGAATGTAATAAATATTCTAGAAGTATCATTATATTCCTGATGACAGTGTGAGAACCATATTGAAATGTTGAATGTAATAAATATTCTAGAAGTATCATTATATTCCTGATGACGGTGTGAGAACCACATTGAACATTGAAGTAATAATATTCTAGAAGTATTATTATATTCCTGATGATGGTG